TGTAACATATGCTGCAAAGTACTGTACACCACAATAGTAAGTTGTATCACATTTAAATATATTAATTTAAGCTCACTGTATCTTTTTATTAAGAAAAGTATCTTTGTTTCTCAAAACACACATTCTTTTTCTTGTTGCCTTTCTCCACGCACCAATATATGATTTATTTTAAATCTTATCTAAAATAGCTCGGGGGGGTTATTCTTAGACAAATTAATTCCTCCGTCACAAGCAACAAGACGCATTAAACTTTAATCTTAAATAAACGTGACACGTGTTATTTGAGGATGCAATTTTATAAATGCGTAGAACTAATTGGTAAATTATGCACAGGCCTCATCAATCGCTTCCTTAATAAAATCACAATTAGAAGCAGAAATGGAGGATGATAAGGGGGAAAGGAGAAAGAGCAGTGGCTCTTAAGATGTTAATTATTCTAATGAGGCAGAGTGTACCTGCCTGATGTCAATGTCATCTCAGTAGTAATTATTACCATGGTAATGCTATTGCCATGGTGAATCAGAGTGTGATTTATTTAGTTAAAGCAATTAGGCCATCTGATTAGAAATACAAACATTAATGCAAATTTAAGCAGATTTTTCACTTTTATTGGCCCTTTTCTATTTTTTAGTGCACATTCCTCTCAGCCACCTTTGACACGACCCTCCGCAGTCCCAGCCTTAACGGCGGCATTTAAATATTTCAATTAGAAAACAGCACATTTGGGCTTTTTTAGATTGTTATTGTCAAAGAGAGGCTCAGGGAAATAAATGAAGAGAAATCCGTACCTGGAAGCAATCATCTCGGATCTGCATTTAATGGAAAACCAATTCTAGTAGTATTATTTAAATACATACATATATCTTCACCCTGCAGGGTTAGCCTAATGTTGACATCATGCACTTCTCAGTATCGAGGGATTCGGAGTGGAGGAGTCTTGTTTAGCGAGGGGACGGTTAATTGATTGTCAAATCATGTTTTAGTGTGGAGGGTAACTGAGATCACTCCGGGGCAAATATGTCCCGGGTAACGCGGTGCCCTCCTGCCCGGAGAGCGCAGCGGAGTCAGCCGCCGCACAGTGGCAGCGCTCAAAGTGTCACCCCGAGATGACAGTCATATTCCATTACAGCTATCGCTCAATATCCTCACGCAGGGCAAATTATAGCATTTCAACAGAGCAGAAAGTAACAAAGGAAAAGCCATATGGATGTAGAATAAACTGGAATTAATTTGCATGGACTTCATAACCCTGTGTGGATTTTATCTTGATTTCACGGTTGCATTTACACTCTACTAGGAATAAAAGGGGGGTTGGGGGGAGTTCAAAAATCAGAAAATAGACATGTTTTGTGTCGAGAGTCACATGCTGGGACATATTGAATGACCATTACTCCGCTGAACACCGCTTTGCCATTGAAAGCTGACGCCAGTGACCAAATCCATCCAATTCCAGTGGTTGTGAGCACCCAGGAAGCATTGGACTTCTATGGGGACGCGAATGAAGCTGCTGGGCATCCGGTGAATTTCAGCTCCATCTTGTTTCTCGCCGAAAGGCTCCGGCGTGGGCCTGCGGTTGCCAGGCGCCTCCTGAGGTGACTCTATCAGAGCCAGTCAAGCCTGAAATCAATCACTCACACCCATCAAAGGCTGCCCTGCACCGCCATTGTGACGGAGCCATCTGGGCCCCTGCACACTGTCTACATTTATCTCCAGGAACTATATGTGCATTCCTGCTCGGTGTGTGTGTATATCTGTGTGTTTGCTTTGTGATTGCAGTGATAGAGAGCATTATCAGGTATGGTATCCTCACAGTGAAGCTCAAATCAAAGATGGCTCGCCTGCTACAGACTGCCATGAACATTAAGGGGGTTCAAAACAACATACATCCCTCCAAAACCAGTCATTAGACGGGCACCAAAGATGACATCCTCCACCCAGAGATCCAGCTCTTACCTCTGGTAGATGTCCCTCAAAGCAGGCCAAACCAGTACAAACACTCTTTCATGACCATTCAACTTCTCAACATACTAGTTTAAATGTTTGCCATTGGGGTTTGTGCAATAGTGCACCAGTTTCACTATGTGCAAACTGTGTACATGTAGTACATTTCAGTAAATGTCCTAGCCATGACAATATCGTATCGTAAATGAACAAATAGTAGAACTGAATGCAGGAGGAAGCAGTGGCATGCATCCATCACATGCTCCACCTGTCCTCTACATGATTCTCCTGCACGGCATCATCTGCTCGGACTAGTGTTCCTGAGCGGAGGTCTTCCTCCTTTGGCCCCTGCTCTCTGGTCAGTCTCTACTCTCAGTGCTGAGTGCTAACTGCCCAGCACTGGCAGCAGGTGTGTGTGTGTGTGTGTGTGTGTGTGTGTGTGTGTGTGTGTGTGTGTGTGTGTGTGTGTGTGTGTGTGTGTGTGTGTGTGTGTGTGTGTGTGTGTGTGCTGCCATTGGAGGGCAGTAGAGCACCAGCACATCCATCTCTATCAAAGTGGACCCTGCAGCCCCCAGAGAGTGTAAAGCAGTACTTAGAGGCATGTTGGGGGCTCGGAGACAGGCGGGGGAAATGTGGACAGGTCAGGCAGTGCTGGACTCCAGCGGCTCCATGTTCACTATACCAGCTATATATATAGAAGGGGGGAAATAAATACACAACACAGGTATTAAAGGAACGCCTCTAAACAATATCTGGAGAAAATAGTGGCAATTAATGCTGCTAAAAACAGACTAATTTACATAATATTAGCATTTAGCCATAGGCTGCATATGTTAACGTATGTGTAATAATATCATCATACTGTTTATAATTGTCATCAATATATGCAAATTTAAAGAAGCTGTCACAAAACATGATTTAATTTCTCTCTTAACTCTGAGGTTTTAAAGCATATCCCTCTTCATCGTAAAGTTATAATTTATTTCCTTTTAAAGCAAATAACTGTCAGTTCTGCAGAAGGACATGTAAGGTCAGCTCAGCCACTCACATCGATACGGTCGTCTAAAAGCCTTTTAGTAAGAGAGAAAGTCAGAGGTACTTCTACCATTTGTGCCTGGACATACACCCTGTAATCCCTTCTTCAATACTAGTTCAATACTGTAAGGATATGGCGGCAATATCCATCAGCCTCACTGCCGCATGTATTATTCAACTCCCCTCATATGCATTTGGCCGGTAATCTACCTTAATTTAAAATGAACCTTAAACCCCCATTCATACTTTAATACAGACACACTGTTATGTGAGACTGAAACTCATTCTTTGAATCTCCAATAGCTGTTAGAAATGTAATAAGACAAATTATGCATTTACTTCTTCAAAGTCATTTAAAAGTTTGTCGTTTTTTGCCCTTTATGCTTGACATTTCTGTGTGAGATGAAGACTTTTCAGGTCAGAATAATATGCATGTATTTCAATAATGTTTACTACTTATTCCTGCAAAAAAATACTTTTATTAAAGGCCATTAATTGTGGTCCAAAAAATATGTATTTCTTATGCAGCTTTCTCGTTTAAACAGCATTTTTAAGCTATAACACGTTTTTACAGATTGCTTATTTAATTGCTGCTTTCAAATATTAAAAGAAAGCACATTTACAAAAACATTTAACATGATTGGATTAAATCAGAATAACTATCAGTACATGTGAGTGAGCATTCAAGATGGATTTATATGAAAACAGAAATTTAACAACCTCACATCTAGCACATTTTCCTACATTTAAGTACCTCTCAGTTCAAACAAACCACGCTGCAAACTTTCCTCTCAGGAAGAAAACACATGTTCCCTGTTTTCTGCTTTCACATTAACGTCCATGTTCTCTCCGTGCCATTTAGTCGCAGAGCTGGGATGCCCCGGTCCCGAGTGCAATGTCCCAGACCTTGGCCGGCTCTTTTATGTAAACACAAACTCCTCGCTGTGAAGGGGTCCCATAGTTAAGAATTCCACTTAGAGAGCACGCTGCCGCGATACGGCACTCTCATGTTCCTGCTCCACGCTTTACAGCCCCTTCATGTAGCTCTAAATGGAGACCCAATACCCCAAAGGCTGGGTATAAGTACAAACAATTCAACACAAAGTTTGTATCATTTTATTCATTTGTAAAAAAAATGTCAAAATCGATTTGTAGATGCAGCTAAATGGAAATGGAAAAACTGTTGACCAAAATGTGAACAAGTATGTATAAAAAAACTGAATCTGAAATAAAAATGTATTCAAACCATGAATAAAAACACATTAGATTACAAATACATAGTCAATATTTAACTCTAGTTCTTATTTGACTACATACAACTAGGAAATATCAACAAGAGAGATTATATCGCGTTTAAACTGTGTATATAAATTAATTTAAAATGTGTGTATTCACATCTTTAATGTCTGCTCTGTCAAATATTCCCATGTGTTGAATATGCACATTTTTAATTCCACTTACGTCACAGCAAATTACAACACATCTCAGTAAATCTATCCATTTTATTTTGCTGGATCTTGCAACTTAAATATATATTAATAATATATCTTTCACTCTTATGCTTTTAGTTTGATCTGCAGAGTAGTTTTGTGTCTTTGTCAGGGTGTGTTGTGTGATAGACTCTGTGCCAGCTTCAGCAGGAGACAGAACTTTGCATGATGACGGCAGCATTTTCCAAAACATGTTTACAAGTGCCAGAGGGCGAAAAAGGACCTTTTTATTTCCCTCCTGCTAATTGTTTGATTTCCTGTTGCCGCTGGAGAGCTGGGGGACTGTGGGGGAACAGAAGAGGGTCCAGGTAGGCACAGGAGCTTCACACACTCTCTCTTCGTTTGTCTGAAACGCTGAGATGGCTTCAGGCTAGCTGCTCTCTCTGGAGCTTTGTAGAAATACCACACAGTGACATCTGACGTTGTCTGTCTACTTCCCTTTTTTGTCATCCTGGGCTTTTATACCCCTCCACCATCTCAAGCTGTTACTGACACCTTTGCAGTGCCTGTCAGTGTTTGTTTTGCCGCCCTCACCTCACTAATAAGGGAGGAAATCGCTGAAATGCTTCATCATAAATCTTAGCACGTTTTAGCCTCCATACTGGACTGTCATTGTGTCTATGTGGGGCTTAGTTTGCATAGAGATACGATCCCCTCATCCCAGACTGATCCCAGTTCTCACTCCAGCAGGTGGTGGGCTTTAAAACTTCTTGTTTGTAAGCTGCCGTGGGAGAGATGACACATTTACGAGGAGCAGCGCAGGCCAAACAGTCAGGGAAGATTCCCCGCTCGTGGCGTGCAGCGCTGTGCAATGCATTGTGGGCCACATAGTGCGCTGGACTCACCTACCACTGTTCACCCACACAGGGCTATTCTCATGTAGATGTATGTTAATCAGGACACAAGGAGATTGTTTTAATCGGATTGTTGGTTTTTGCTTTGTTTTGCTCTGCCTCCAGAACATGGGAGTGCATCAGGGACAGAAAGCACCATTGTCAGGCGGCAGTAAGCCAGTAATTCCTGGCGCAGCTTTTTGACGTTAGCACAATCCCGCAGACAGACAGATTCTCTGCGGGGACCTCCACGGTAATCGGGCTTCTGTGCAATCTCACCCTTGAACCTGGGTGCTGTCCCTTTGAATTAACTTTAGGAGAGGCGGCAAAGTTTGGGCTGCTCTATCTCACGCTATGGAAAAGGAGCCATGAAAGGGCAGAGGTGAGGAAGTTATGAAAAGTGATTGTTTTCTGGCTCAAATTAAGATCCATCACACTGTATTTGTAGCACTATCGTACAAAAAAGGTGACACAAAGTGATTCACAAAACCAAACAATACTACCCCCCCTTCCCAGATAATAAATACCAAGGAACAGATCACTTCCTGATTGATTCAAACACCTAAAGTCAATACAAGGCACAAGTTAACATCCAATCAAAACACAACTGTTTAACAGCATTATTAAGATGCCACTTTAGGATAATTGTCACAATGACTTCCTAAACGAGACATTAAAGCCTAAAGCAAACTCCAGACACATACTGTTGGAGCAGGGCGGCTCAAATAATGCTTAATAACCTAAATGTGTGTTTGCATCATAATAAAATGCTATAATAACACAGATTTAAGTAGATTAAACCCCAAAGTTAATATACATTTTGTGAAATTGCATTACAGCATCATATGTGGTTGTGGGGGGGGGCTGTCAGTGACTGACTTGTGTCGGCGCCTTGGGTTTTGTGACGGATGCCCGTGCCAGTGCGTCTCCGGCTGCCAGCAGGCCTTTAATCCCTCCTAATGGGGGTTGTCATCTCACCGCTAATTTAAATGCTCCAACCACGGAGCTCCCCCACCTGGCTGAGCTAATCCCAGTGCGAAGGGCCCCTTCCCCACAGCTAGCCTCCTCGTTCTGGGGCCCAGGGGCCCGGGGGCCTCGCCACCCTCCTACACAACAACAGCATCTTTCAATCATCTCTCCCTGATTGTATTAATCTTATCTGTGTTTAATTACATTTTTTAAGATTATTGCTGTATGCCATCTTTGCACACTGTGGGGGCCGCAGAGGGCTGCTCATTTCACATGCATTTTCATTTGGGCACAAATCCCCATCAAAGACTGCCAGAAATTATAGGAGAGCCATTTTTTTTCATGGTTGGGGGAGTTTGTAAACTTGTTCCTATAGCCGGAAGTCATGCGGTGTAGCGTCTGGAGGGCATTGTCTTGGACATACAAATACTTCACAGGTATTACATTTAATATACATAAAGATCTATTGGTTCTAAAGCTATTCACATCCTAAATAAAGTAAATAGTGTTACAATAGTCCATCATGATATAGTCCTGAATGTGCATGTATCAGAACAATGTGCTTCACCAGTGTGTCCGCGGGGTCTTAAAAAGTATTACAAGTTTTTAAATCAATTTAGCGAAAATTAAGGCTATTAAAAAGTATTAAAGGGCATTTTCCAAGGTGTTACATTTTGTAGCTTGTTTTCAATAAGTACATAAATGGTCCAAAGAGGTTGTATTCTACAGTCTGCCTGAATGTAATCATTGCGTAGGTGTGTAGTGTGATTCTGTGTAGTTTATTTATGGCATCCTGTTGGAGTTGACGTCATCTGAACAGGACATCGCGCTCTCACTGCTTGATGCCCGTTTACGCCGGTTGTTAAGCAACATCGTTATGGGGAAATGCAAGTCTGCGTCCAAATGGTTGGAAGATAAGGAGGAAGGACAATCAATACTGTGAATAAGTGTGTCGCCAAGGTAACCGATTAAAACTCAAAGTGGCGATGAGGTCTTAAAATGTATGGGAAGGGTCTTAGAAAAGGTCTTCAAAGGGATTAAGTTTGACTTCAGGACTCCTGCATATACCCTGTTTAAGTAAGAAAAGTATAAATATCTGTAATCAAGATATTTGGCCCTTTAATATTTATGCATTGTGGAGATGGCTTTTCAGAGGCAATTTTAATTATATATATATATAATATACTTCATTATAATAATGTTAGATTATTCAGTAACAGTGTTACATTTCATAAACTCATACAGATATGTTTTTTTTGTACAATACATGTTATTTATGGGAAAATGTCACATTCATAAGAAGGAAACCACATCGTGCACACTTAGCTAGAATTAAAGCAAAATGACACCACCTTTAAAAATAGTAGGAATAAGAAAGGATTCGAGAACATTTTAATCAGAATTATTACCTTTCTTTTGTTATTTTATTCATTTCTTCTTTGATAATATCATTTTTTGTTTGTTTTAAGTTTACCTGTATACCCCCCATTAGTATGTATATCATGTAGGAATTTCTTTAGATTCAAAAGTCCATATATTCTGTTTTACTTGTCAACTAATACCAAGCAACATCTCAAAAGTTGTAAAATGAAAGCATTTAATCTCCATGTATTATTATGTATGTAGTTTAAGTGCTGTTAGTGACTGCCACCACAAAGTGAGCATGATGCATTCAGGGCCTACATGTCATTCAGGTGCTTTATTAAATATTCAGAGCTCTGTCTTGTACCAACGGTGAGTCATTGTGTGTATTATTTACACCTGGAGAAAGGGGACAGTAGTTAAAGGAAAACAGAAGATCCTACTTTCTGAGGGGGTTAAAGGGCTGCAGGGCGCTGGGGGTTTCTCCAGCAGGTGTGTTTAATTAACCAGCGGCTAATTCTCTCACGTTAGAGCGCCATGCCTCCAGACTTCCTCTTGACATGTCGGTGAAGACGGTCCGGCATTAACGGTAACTAACAGGTGTTTGTGCATCTAGGATTCCTCGTGCCTAATGACGGCTGCCAGTGATTGCAATCAGAGATACGTTGTGATGTTTTACAGGAAAACAATCAGCCATCTGGTCAAATGAGGAGAATTTGTTTGATTGCAAACTCTAGGCAATGGACTTAGACCTATTGATAGAAATGATTGAGTTATGTGTTGTTATAAATAACTAGTAACACTCACTGATGCAGTTTACCACATCTGAGGTTGTTGTAGCAGATTATTTACACACAGTAGCTTTGAAATCTGCCTTCAAACTAGCACATTCATCTGTAATGGTGTTATGCTGTGACTGTAAGGCTTGTAGCAATCAGCAGGACCTAGTGTACCACTTTAATATGGAAAGGGGGGGTGACGGCGGGCACACACAGAGCCTGTTGATGATGGTTTTTTTACGTGCATATTTGTGGCTGTGATCTGAGCTTGAATGGGTTTTTTTCTTGCGTTAAATGCTGGTGTAAATACATGGAGACGAGGGCCGGAGGGCGTCTGTTTAGAAGCTCTCTGAACCCGGGATCCACCGCCCGACAGGGGGCCGCGCAGATAATTATTAAAACATTTTTTTTTTAAAAGATTGGATGTTCAAAAGGTGCTGCACCTGAAAAGAAGTGACACCGAGCGCGGCTACATCACATAAGATTACATGCACATTATTGTTAACGCTTCAAGTGGTGCTGTAAAATAAATGTGACGGAAAGCTTCGGCTCATTTGAATAATTTCCAGAGTGTGAAGACAGATATGAGGCTTGTTCCAAACGGGACAAAGGGATGAGACTTGGCAGCACATGAAGATCGTTTGACTTCAATCATCCCCGTTTAATCACAGAGCAGAAACCTGTGATTTCAGATGTTCACGTGCATTTGATCCGTAGATGTGTGTGTTCTTGTTAAGTGGCTGTGCTATCAAAGGTAGTCGTCTCCAGCACTGATTGGGCAAACCATCCCCACACCTCAGCCCACGAGTCCACGTTAATATCATTGTTCTGGAGGTCCACAAACTCGTGTTGGGTAAATCTCTCCGCGCTCACAGGGTCTTTGTAGCCGTCGCGGATCAGATCACTTCTGAAGCTCCATTACCAGCCGTGATGCCCTAACACTGGAAGACGAGCCCTATAATGAGTCCCTCCAACAAAGAGCCACTGATAAAAGGATTAACTAATTAAATTAACAGAGTAAAGTACTTTATAACTGTTAATTATGTGGTTCCCTTGGCTGCTCTGGGCCACTAGCACCCTTTGTTTGGAAAGCCCCTTGTCTGTACTAATTGACCTCTGGGGAGCTTTTGGTGTGTGTGTGTGTGTGTGTGTGTGTGTGTGTGTGTGTGTGTGTGTGTGTGTGTGTGTGTGTGTGTGTGTGTGTGTGTGTGTGTGTGTGTGTGTGTGTGTGTGTGTGTGTGTGTGTGTGTGTTGGAGGGTGCTTTACACAATCAAATGGCACGTATAAACAAACTGACAATTTACTTTGGTGTAGAGTGACACTTTGTAGGACGCGGGGACACTTGTTCAAATGACCTTGAATGCACCACCAGAGAATAGAGCCTCTCTCAAGCATCGGGGCCCCATAGAGGCCTCTGTGAGGGGGGGGCCACTATCTTTCACATTGAGACGACACTCTGAAGTGAAAGCAGACTTAGAGATCACAGAACCAACGCCCAATAGATTGGAGAAACTATTTAAAGCTTTGTTGTTTAAACACCCAGTTTTTTTTGACATCACAACGAGGCTTAAGTAGACACAGAGGTGGAAAGTATTGAAGTACAAATACTTTGTAACTGTACTTAAGTAGATGTATACTTTACATGTTTAGCAGAAATACCTGTACTTTGTACTTCTTACATTTTCAAAACACGCTTTAGTTTTAATCTGCATTTGGTGGCGTAATCATTTTACACCTATTTCAATCTGATGTCATACAGAGAGACGATCAGTGCATGTATGACAGTGACAGTATTACCATTTGAAATAAATACATTTTCTATGAATATAAAGTGAGGTCCAGTTAGCAGCTTGACTCTATAGAACAGTTGTACATCTCAAAGCCCACGAGTATCTGTACTTCTACTCGAGTGAAGGACGCGTGCCCATCATCCTCCCCTCTAATCACATTATTAACCTCCGTGGCTGCAGTCAAAAGGCAGTTAGATGTGACCTTGTCTCCTTTCCCGCTCCACCTTCTCCCAGTCCTTCCTTTAACCCCGTCTCTTCCTCCAACGGGCCACCAAAATCCTAATGACGTCCTTGACAAGTGATCCATCAGTTGGCAATTACAACATCTGTTGCCACGACAAAGATGGCTCCGGCTCTCCCTTTTGGGGCAACTCTTCCCCCTCGATTATGTCTGGGGTTTTGGGGGGGGGGGGATGCAGAGTTGGTGGGGTCGTGTGGGTCTGATGGAGGGGGAGTTGGCCACTTTGTGCAGTAAAAAGGGGCCGCCCCACAACACAGACAGACATGTTGACAGCAAACACAAACATAGCAAAACAAATGGTTCACGCCTACCTCTTTAGATTTCCATTCAAATGCACTCCACAACTCTGTGAAAGTGCTCTATCTTCTATAGAGGGAAGAACCTACCAGCTGCCATCGTCTCTCCTCTCCATAAAGAGGAGCTTTCAGCGGGAACAATGAGAGGGCTTCTC